GACTCTTGTGTTGCTGAAGGAGAGAGAAAGCTCTCCATGACATTGGTTTTCAGTACTACGAACCTCCATTGGTGTATTATTGGTGCAATGCTGCTCTCTGGACACAGTGTGACTGTCTGGCTTTTAATGTGATGGTGTAATCTGGATTTGTCATCTTGCTGTTGCTTATTTTCCTTGCAATTTGGTATCGGAGCTGGTTCATATTGCGCTTCATTGGTTCTTCGCAATAGCTATTGGTGCTTCGCATGAGGTGTGGGGCAGTGATAAGGCATTGGCGTTGAACATTAGGCGGCCCAGGGTAGAGTGGGCGCGCTAGGGAGCTTTGTGGGTGACATACGGGGTGTATGCTGGATGGTGAGAGCCCTCTGATGTGGCATATTAAGCCGAGCTGGAACCGCATTCTGCTGTTGGTTGCGCCGAGGCAAAGACCGGTCATCATAATTGCGAATCAGGTTGCCGGTGAGAAATCTGTGGTTGGGGGCAGCATTTATGAGGTACGTTGCTCTCTTCCTTATCTACCCTCTTCGTTACTTCTTACCGTGAAGAAGTGAGTTCTGTCTTGAGAGTCCTCTCGATGTGAGGTGTTGCGAGCGCTCAACCTTGAGAGTCGTCATTCTTCCTGGGCAGCAAGTTGGTGGGAGACGGGCGAAGCCTCTTAAGGGCCCTGGACGAAGCACTCGGGTCACGGTCACCATGCCAACCTGCTGGGACTAGTACACGCATGCTTGGCAGCAAGTCCTTGGTTCCGCTGCTTGCGCAATAGAGGTCATGCAGGGCATGCCAGCCCTTTGACAGACGCTTACCAGACAGTCTTTAAATATTTCTGTCTGGGAACTCGGAGTTGAATCTGGCTGTGATCATCGTCCTGTCTGCGACGTTAAATAATTCCTGAGGAGGTGGGGGCTCTCCTTAAATCCCTCCTGATCAGCCAGATCAACCAGGTGTAAGGCTCGTTGCATGCGAGGGTAAATAAAGTGCAGGGGGTGGCAGGTTTGGCGTTGACTTGGGGCACAGGGGTGGGCCGGATTGCACACCTTCAGACACGCTGCTCAACCAGATGCTCAGGACGTTGACACAAAGTGACCACTCAAGAAGGATATAGGGGGAGGGGGGATTCCGGTAACTATTCACAGTGGCAATCAACAGACAATCTGCCATCAAGCATACATCTCAAACAGGAGATGGTATTTTTATTTTTGATTATCTAGTTGTTACAAACTTGACTAACAACTGACAGACAGCTACGGACAGACTAGATCTTTGCTGTATTGCAATCTGTTCTAGGGTAATCTAAAAATAGATCTGATATTTCTTGTAGGATCTCACATAAGTTGTTTACTACATCACCTAACTGTTTCTGTTTCCATTCGACCGAAATTATTTGTGATTCATAATCGGTTGTGTGTTAGGCTAAGGTAGGATTCGGTGTGGATTCTAGTTTAGATCACACACACTGTAGCTCATGAGTGATGCAAGCACTAGTGAGGAGGAGTTGTTAGTGGACGACCGTAGGACTACTCGTGGGACTGCCCGTAGTCGACCCTTGACCTTCTTCGAGTTAGGTCTAGGAGATGAGAGAAGATTGCGGAGAGAGGCTAGAGAGAGAGCAGCGGCAAGGAGAGCGAGGGCAGCTGAGGATAGTGCCAAGACTAGAATTTCCGCTAGCACCGGTGCAACCATGGCTACTTCATCTACCATGTCGCAAACCTCTTCATAGTCCACTTCGTCAGGAGTCAGTTAGAGTGGTTCTCAGGGGTCCATTAGTCAGACTGCTAGCTTGCGAGTCAGCCAATAAACTCAACTCACGCCGGAGGATTTAGAAATCCGGCAAGCAGAAGAAGTTGAGGATGAGCTACAGCGACAGTTGGACGAAGCAGCAGAGAGGAGAAGAAAAGCAGTACTCAGAAAGGCTAGACTAGGAAGTAGAGTGCAGGAGCTAGGAAGACTGGAAGGGCTAGATGAGGCGGCATTAGACCCTGTTGTCCTTGTGTTGGGTAATGCCTTACTATCAGTGGCAGAAGCGCAGAATGTCCAGCAGGAATTGCTGGCCGAATTGGTTGCAGACCAGAAGCAAATCCTGGCTGAACTTCGGGCTCCTCGTGCAATGATGAGGCAACCACAGTTTGTTGTAGTTCCCCCTGCGGGTGCGGGTCCTTCATCGATGCCGCAACTCACAGGGTCAACTTTCTCTCCTATGTTTGGCATGCCCCCACCAGGTGGTTTAGTAGCAACTAGTGGTCCGGTCCATAGAGTCTCAGCCGTACCATCTACGACAGTGGTCACTACAGTCCCACTGTCAAGCCAGGCTCAGGTTAGTGTGCAACAGCCTGTTTCAGTGGCTATGCAACCGCTGCAGCATGCCCCTGGGCCCATGCAGCCTATGCAGTGGATGCCCAAAATACCTTTGATGAGTCCCAAACCCTTCTCTGGAGATAGGAAGAAGGATGAGGACTTAGACACCTGGGTGAGGACTGTGCCTACTTATGTGAGGCACAAGCTCACCAGGCCAGAGCAGGAAGTTATAGTGGCTGCCTCCTTTTTAGAGGGGTCAGCAGCCGGTTGGTTGAATGACTTAGTGCAGCAGTAGCGCTACGGTCAAAACTTCGATGCCTGGGCACAGACCCTGACATTGGAAGAGTTCGTACGGTCCGTGTATAACGTGTGGCATGACCTGCAAGGGGCTCAGAAGGCCACCGATGCTATCAACAGTCTTTGTTCCTGCAGGTTGAAGAATGTTAGAGAGCTAACGGACACCGTAGAACGTTTACTCATGGTACCTGGTGTGCGTTTTGACCAGCAGGTTCTTCTGACGGATTATCTAAGGTGCCTACCTGCAGAGGTAAGGACCAAGCTGGTTGATGAGGCCTATGTCGAACAACACACCTTCGCTACTTTTAGTAAGAAAGCTCTGGACATAGAGGCAAAGCTGGGATTCGCGCATCAGGTATCTCATGATGGTAGGAAGAGACTTCCCCAAGAATGGAAGAAGGAGGGTCAGTTGATGTTCGTGGACCATGATGGTCAAACGACGAAGATTGACGATTTTCTAGACCTTGGGGAGGTGACAGAGCAAGATGGGGCTAGTGAGACTTCGGATGGGGGAGTCGTGGCACCCATCAAGGAAAAGGCTAGGGAGACCGGGAAGAAGAAGGTAGTACGGTCCACGGGTTAAGGTGACCAAGGAACACCCGCATGGGTAAAACTTGGTTTAGAGTGTGAGGTGTGGAGGGACCGAGTTGCTAGGGGCACGTGCATGAACTGTGGCAACTATGGCCACACATCACGAACGTGCCAAGGCAAGAAAGTTTTGACGAGGGTAGCCTCACCAACGATGGTGGGACTTTCTTCAAACTCTGGCGGTGCTTCTGCGAGCACTTCCCAGGGAAACACCTCAGGCCAGTAGGACTATTAGCCGCTCTTACTCGCGCTGAGGTGGTAACGTTGCCTTCCCCACTTCAGGCGTTGGCCAAGGCTAGAGACCCACGTATCGCCCCGCAGACACATTCAGACCCACCGACGCTCTGTTTGAGAGATGTGTATGAGGCCCTAGAGGAGTTAGAGACTGTGTGGTCAGGGAAGGACCCCAGGGACTCTTGGGCGATGATAAGTACAGTTCCAAAGGGTGAACATTTCATGGTAGAAGTTGATGTAGGTGGCCGAAAAGTGGGCACCTTCGCAGACATTGGCTCTACGCGAGATTTCATCAGTCGTGCTTGTGTGGATAGACTGCGCTTAGGGGACCAAGTGCAGCGGCTTAGCAAAACTGTAGCTTCTAAGCTGGCCAACAAACACCAAATGTTGGTAAAAGACTATGTCAAGGACGTAGTCTGCACCTTCTCCTATGGAGGAGGGGAAGTGAGTCATAAAATCTCCTTCCTGGTTAGCGACGAACTGCCCTTTGATATGCTCCTAGGTATGTACTACCTCGAAGTCGCACAACCGCAGTTTGACTGGGATAGAAAGGTATTAATTCACAAATTGCCCAATGGTAGATTTGTTAGATTGCAAAAGTTCAAAGCTAGCAGTCTGATAGAAAACTACGGGTGCATGTGTGCATCATCCTTCTATAACTATTATAAGCAGAATCGCGAGGAGGGCATGTATCTAGTATTTTTCTCTGAGAAAGGGGAGGCCGTTAAAACACCCCCAGAGATAGAATTAGTCGTCGCACAATATTTAGACCTTTTTGAGGAGCCCACAGGCGTGGTGGAAAGGGAGGTTGTCCATGCAATAGAGGTTGTCCCAGGTAGCAAGGTGCCTAGAGGATGAATCTATGGGATGTCTCCTGCGAAGTTAGATAAGCTTCACCGCCAGCTCTAGGAGCTCACAGAGAAGGGATGGATTCGGCCTAGTACCTCCCCTTACGACGCTCCAGCCCTATTCGTACCAAAGAAGGGAGGTACCTTGAGGATGTGCATTGACTATAGGGGCCTCAATGCCATCACCGTTAAGAACGCGGAGCCCCTACCCCGCATCGACGACCTCTTGGATAGAGTGCAGGGATGTCGGTACTTCACCAAGATAGATCTGAAGTCCGAATACCATCAAATTGCCATTAGGCCTGAGGATCAGCACAAAACCGCATTTCAGACCAGGTACGGTCTGTACGAGTTTGTGGTGATGCCCTTTGGACTATGCAATGCACCTGGTACGTTCCAGCACGCGATGAGCAGGATTTTTCATGACTACTTGGACAAGTTTATCGTCGTGTACCTCGACGATATTCTCATCTTTAGTAGGACTGTAGAGGAGCACGCTGAGCACTTGAAAACAGTGCTAGGTCTCCTAAGACAACACCAGTACAAGGTTAACTTGGAGAAATGCGGGTTTGGTCGCACCAAGATCTTGTACTTGGGTCATGAAATCTCAGCAGATGGATTGAGGCCGGATGATGCTAAGGTGGCCAGCATACGTGACTGGCCCAGACCTCAGACTGTTACTGAGGTCAAATCGTTTTTGGGGATGCCGGGCTACTATCATCCGTTTGTGAAGAACTATAGTACTATAGCTTCCCCATTGACAGATCGAACTCAACTGGACACCCCTTGGGAGTGGACTGAAGAGTGTGAGGCGGCCTTCAGGAAACCGAAGTATGCCCTGACACACTATGAAGTTCTTAAACTTCCTGATCCGGATAAGCCATTTGTCGTGACTACAGACACCAGCCAATATGGCATTGTCGCAGTCCTTGTGCAAAAGGAAGGGCCTAAGTTGAGACCCATCGAGTATATGAGCAAAAAGATGCCATCTCAAAAACTAGCTAAGTCCACTTATGAGCGCGAGCTCTATGCCCTATATAGAGTGCTGGTACACTGGAGACACTATCTCCTTGGCAGATTCTTCTATGTGAGATCTGACCATGAGACCTTGCGCTGGATCAAGACTCAGCCAGTACTCTCTGACGCACTCAAGGGCTGGATACAAGTGATAAACATGTATGACTATCAACTTGATCCAATCAAGCGATAGTATAACAAAGTGGCTGATGCGTTATCTCGTCGGGCGGATTATCTGGGCGCAACGAGATCCAGTTATGTCTCAGATCATTCGTAGATTCCAAGCAAAGGACAAAAAGACTTTGGACGAATTTACGATGGTAGACGGCTTGCTGTTTCTTGAGAAGGCAGGGAATAAAAGATTGTGTGTTGGATACAAGAAGACATCCGCGAACTTAGTACAGAGATTCTGGTGGCCCTTTATGATGCTAGATGCAAAACGCTATGTTGAAACCTGCCAGGTTTGCCAGAGGGACAAACCGAGGACTCAGGCTCCGCTTGGGCTGATCAAGCCCTTGCCGATTCTTGAAGGACCTGGTCAGAGTGTGTCCATGGACTTCATGGATACTCTTGTGACCAGTAAGTTCGGCAAAAAGCACATCTTCGTGATAGTGGACCGCTTTACTGAGTATGCAAGACTAATCGCTATGCGAAAAACAACTAAAACTGACCACGTCATCAAACTGTTTATGGATAATTGGGCACGTGATTTCGGTTTGCCTACATCTATCGTTAGTGATAGGGATGTGAGATTCACAAGTGAACTGTGGCAGTCAGCCGCTGAACAGATGGGCACAAAACTCCAAATGACCTCAGGGAATCACCCTAAGTCAAATGGCCAGGCAGAACAGATGAACCGGGTAGTACAGCACCTGCTTGGGCATTATATTAAGCCAAGTCAGGATGACTGGGACGAGAACTTACCTCTCGTCGCCAGCCTGTACAACAATGCTGTACACAGTACTATCGGTATGACTCCCAACCAATTACATCTTGGTTGGAAGCCCAAAACTGCACTTGACTTTCTGCTACCAGAAAGGCAACCCACTGCAGCACCTGGGAGCATAGACTTTGTTGTTAAATATGAACAGATGCTGCAGCAGGCCGTTGAACATATTAAGAAGTCTCAGGATGCTATGATCGCATTTGAGAATAAGCATAGACGGCCCTCTAACTTTCAGGTAGGTGATAGAGTCTGGGTAAAGTCATCAGAACTAGGTCAGGAGATGGGGATATCCAGAAAACTGATGCCGCAGTATTTTGGGCCCTGGGAGATCTTGGACATTGTAGGGGATCAACCGGATAGGCCTTCATACGTGATCCGTATTCCTGCACACCTACCCACCTACCCTGTGTTCCATGCCTCCAACCTGGCACCTTTTGCTGCCACTGACCAGTTTCCCTCAAGGAGATTAATGCTGGCCCCAACCATGGATGGCGAGGTGGACATCGACCAGATCGTGGAGCATCGAGTAATCCCTATTCCTCGACCATCAGGCAGAGGGTGCCCTCCTAAACCGAGAATGCAGTATCGTGTGAGCTTCAGACATCATCTGGATCCTAAGGAGGATCGCTGGTTCACACGAAAAGAACTCATGAGAACAGCACCTCAAGTGATAGCAGGCTACGAAAAAGCACTCAAAGGTAAGATGCCCGCAGAATAAGAGACTTCTCAGAGGACTCACGAAGTAAAGGAGGAGGGAATGCGAGGATCAGGGTCCTCGGTAGGCCTATGGGGCCCTGTTTGCAGCATTGCCCGCCCCAAGTGAAGGCGGAGGTGCCCGCCCTAAGTGAAGGCGGCCCTGACGTATCGCAAGAGGCCCTCGACTGTCAATTTCATATTTGGGGTCCAGGCAGTTGCGACGCGCCAGTTGGTTGAGTTAAACTCAGGCCGAGCAACAAAGACATTTCCACGGCCTTCCGGGCCTTTCCAAAGAATGCAGGCCATGGGCGTGATTCGCAGCCTCATACAGAGACAGTTGGGCGCCCAACCGAACGAGGCCCAACAGCCCAGTAGCTGCTGTACACAGGCAGCCTCCTGG